GTGGGAGCCGAGCGGCAGCCGCGCCACCCGCCGCCGCCGGCTGAGAAGCAGCCTCGCTGTGGTGGAGAAGGGAGGGAGACCGGCGAAGGAGGAACCGTCAAGGCGGTCGACGGCGGCGCCGGCGCAGAACCACGTCGGCGAGGTCGACCTCCTCTCGGGTTCGAGAAACCGAGCGCCGATGTGCTCGGCCTCGCGGTCGCACCATTCCCCTCGCCGTCGGCCCACACCAGTGTCGTCATCATCGCCTTCTTCCGGACGAGACCACCGCAGCATGTCCTCCCGCCCCCGCCTCTCCTCCATCTTCGCCGCCTCCACCACGGCGTCGACCACCACCACCACCGTCGCGGCATCGCCAGCGCGCCCGCTCCCTCCTGCGTACGCCGCGTTCCAGGAGCGCCTGAGGTCGGGAACGCTCGGGCCCGACGACGCACGCCACCTGTTCGACGAATCCCTACTGCGCCGCGACGACCCTGCCCCTGCCCCCGCCCCCGCGCGCGCCATCAGCGACATCCTCGCCGCGCTCGCCCGAGCGCCGCCTTCCGCCGCCTGCAGTGATGGCCCCGCCCTGGCCGTCGAGCTGTTCAAACGGATGGACCGATGGGCATGCCCCCATGCGGCTGCTGATGCTCCCACCATCTACACCTACAACATCCCTCATCGACGTGCTACCTGCCGAATGCACCGTCCAGAGCTAGCGCTTGCTGTCTTCGGCCGCTTGCTCAGGACGGGCCTGGGTCCGGATGTGTGTTCGTACAACACGCTCATCGACGGTTTCTCTAAGGAGGGCGAGGTGGACAAAGCTTACGAGTTGTTCTATAAGATGATAGAACAGTCCGTTTCGCCTGATGTGGTCACTTATAACTCGCTGATCGATGGGCTCTGCAAGACAAAGGAAATGGTGAAGTCTGAGCGTGTTCTGGAGCAGATGGTTGATGCCGGTATTCGACCTAATAACAAGACATACAATAGCCTGATATATGGATATTCCACTGCGGGAATGTGGAAGGAGTCGGTTAGAGTGTTCAAAGAAATGTCAAGCTCCGGTCTCATACCATGTGTTGTTAATTGCAACTCCTTCATTCATGCTCTCTGCAGGCACAATAGAATCAAAGAAGCAAAAGATATTTTTGATTCAATGGTTCTGAAGGGCCCCAAACCTAACATTATCTCCTACTCTACCCTGCTTCATGGGTATGCTGCTGAAGGTTGCTTTGCCAACATGAATAGCCTCGTTAATTTGATGGTATCTAAAGGTATTGTACCTAACCACCGTTTTTTCAACATACTGATTAATGCATATGCTCGTTGTGGGATGATGGATAAGGCTATGCTTATATTTGAAGACATGCAGAACAAAGGAATGATCCCTGACACTGTCACATTTGCAACCGTGATATCTTCTCTTTGCAGAATTGGCAGGTTGGATGATGCTCTGCACAAATTCAACCACATGGTTGATATTGGTGTACCACCGAGTGAGGCTGTTTACCGCTGTCTGATCCAGGGTTGTTGTAATCATGGTGAGTTGGTAAAAGCCAAGGAATTGATTTCTGAAATGATGAACAAGGATATTCCTCCTCCTGGTGTCAAGTATTTCAGTTCAATAATAAACAACCTGTTCAAAGAGGGAAGGGTAGCAGAAGGGAAAGATATCATGGACTTGATGGTACAAACGGGGCAAAGGCCTAATGTTGTTACTTTTAATTCATTGATGGAGGGATATTGCTTAGTTGGTAATATGGAGGAGGCATTGCATTACTTGATGCTATGGCATCAATTGGCATTGAACCGAATTGTTACATATATGGTACGCTTGTTGATGGCTATTGTAAAAATGGAAGGATTGATGATGCATTGACTGTATTCAGAGACATGTTGCACAAGGGAGTCAAGCCTACAAGTGTTTTATATAACATCATTCTCCATGGGTTATTTCAGGCCAGGAGGACAACTGCTGCAAAGAAAATGTTCCATGAGATGATTGAAAGTGGAACGACCGTGAGCATTCAGACATACGGTGTTGTGCTTGGTGGACTTTGTAGAAACAATTGCACCGATGAAGCAAATATGCTGTTGGAGAAATTATTTGCTATGAATGTAAAATTTGATATCATTACTTTCAATATTGTGATTAGTGCAATGCTCAAAGTTGGCAGAAGGCAAGAGGCTAAGGAATTGTTTGCTGCTATCTCAACTTATGGGTTGGTGCCTACTGTACATACCTACAACTTGATGATATCAAATCTTATAAAAGAAGAGTCATACGAAGAGGCTGACAATCTCTTTATATCAGTGGAGAAGAGTGGCCGTGCTCCTGACTCTCGTCTTCTTAATCATATCGTCAGGATGTTACTCAAGAAAGCTGAGGTTGCCAAAGCTAGTAATTATCTGTCTATAATTGACGAGAATAACCTCACTCTTGAAGCTTCAACTATTTCTTTACTGGCTTCTCTCTTCTCAAGGGAAGGTAAATGTCGGGAGCATATAAAATTGCTCCCTGCAAAGTATCAGTTTCTTTAGTTAGCTTGGCACTGCTAATACATTGTTGTATCTGAAATTACATTAAACATATGGCACTCTTGAGTTTATTGTGCTCCTACAGAAAGAACAAAACATGCCTCAGAAAAGTCAGGTATTGATTCTTTTGTTATTATTGTTTTTGTAAGAGACGTTGTTGTCTATGATGCTATATTTGTGTTTTGAAATTGTGACCATGTGTATTCTATGTTTTTTTTTTTAAGAAATAAGAAAGCTAGACAATGGAGTGCAAAACAAATGGTTGTATTTCTAAACATGATAACGTGTAATGGACAAGGTAGTCAGGTATGTATAGTAGAACCTATCTGTAGATAATAATTTTGAGTTCCTTTTGGTAAAAATCTTGACCCCGGTAATTTTGCATACTCTTTAACAGCAGTATTTTGACCAACTATGGTATTTAGCATATATTCTTCCTGCTGCAAGGGAAGAAATGGTCGATCCCTTGTAGGAGTTCAGAGTTGAACCGTGTATTACAGTTCTCTTTCAAAGCCTACAGGATGAAAATACACTTAGCAGCTCACGTTATTCATTCTTTAGCAATAATGCAATTGGCCCCACATAAAGTTCTGTGCATTCTTAATGAGCCTGATGAACTGCTGAGAGAGCCATGTTGCTGAAATGGCACGATTTGATTCTTATGACATCTGTGATATATGCTTGGAACTCCATACCAGTTTTTGAGATCTGTAATTTTTTTAGCAGGCCACAAAGCATCATACTGGAGCTTTGCTCACTTCTGCTATCCTCATACTGGACCTTTTTTAGAATGTGTTGTTTGTTGACATGACATGCCTTTTGTTTCTATCGGAATGACAGTAATGATGGCGTAGGATTAAATAGGTCAATCGTTTAACTTGGCATGCACCACAGATGCTCCAGCTTGTGCGTTTCATTACTGAACTGGAAAATGCTCCTGGTGTGGTCCAGCAATTGTAGAAGCACCAAAACAATGCAGAAAATAGTAAAACCATATAATCATTTATGCCTTTTAGATACTCAGAGGGAACCTTCTGAAACATGCCTCTCCAGTCCTAAGGAGTTGTCAGGCTCATCCAATAAGAATTTGCAACAGGTCAGATTTTCTCTAGGATTACTAATCCAATTCATGTCCCCATTGGTGGTTACTCTGTTCTTCTGGAACTACTACATGTTGTAATCTAGCGATGGCCGTTTCGGTGCTTGGCTTCCCTCTCTGTAGCGTGTGTTTGGGCGGATGGCACATGGTTCGGGGCGTGTGCTCTGGTGCACATCCTTCCTCGACAGCTAGCTATCGATGTAAAACTTTTCTTGTAACTTTTTCTTCCTATCTTAATTACATTGAATGACCTCCTTCGGTCATTCCGGCAAAATATATGTTGTAATCTCACCAGTTGTTTCTAGATACTGGACTAATCTTTTCCTTTGTAAAATTTTGTTTCCATTTCACTCTTCGATATGAATTCCAGCACATACAGTACCCGTAACTATTGATGTTGTTTTAATTGATTCATACACCATATCTGTATTCCTTTTTGTTCTTCAGATTTATGAGAGTTCATGCCAAACTTTGCTTTATTCTTTCTTTCCAATAGGACAGATGATGTTATGGACTGATTTGGAGAAATAGCAATATATTTGTTTGGGCGGCAGGTAGAGAGAAAAAGATAGAAGAAGGAAGAACCCTGCAGAAGGGAGAAGATACTCGGTAAAGCTTATCTCTTGATTTCCTAGTATGCCATTTGCAATTTGTCTGTTGCTTCTCATGCACCTGATTTTCTGCCCTTCCAATGACAGGTGATGCATGGTTCATAGAGGTGAGATGAGCACCCAACTAGGCAACTATTGCAGTATGATTTCCTCTGCACCTTTATTGACGATAGCATACACTGAAGCTTCAACCACTTTCTTTCTTCTGGACTCGATTTTGTCAGTATGAGCAGTAGAACTTGGTGCATACAGATCAGATGGCTATTCTTCTGTTGACGAGAACTCACTGCACTGAAGCTTCAACTACACTTTTGACAGTGTGCAGAAAATACGAGCAACAGAGTGAGCTTTCAAGCTCAGACAAAGTGGACGAAGGGATCAAACTAGTCACATGGTGAGAAGAATACTTTGCATTTTTCCTTTCAAATTATATAAAGGTTTGCAGCGAGCTAGTCACAATTATTGTTTCTTCTGCTCCTACAGAAAGAAAATTAACTTGCCTATAAAAAGTCAGGTATCGATTCTTTCGTTGTTATTGCTTTTATAAGAAACATGCTGTTGTTGTTGGTGATGTTATGCTTTGTGTTTTGAAATTGCGAGCATGTGAATTATTCAGTGAACTTGTTTTTTAGAATTAAGAAAGCTAGACAACGAAGTGCAAAACAAATGGTTGTATTTCTGCAAATGATAGCTTGTGATGTTAAAGGTAGTCACAAAGGGAGAAACTGTCCAAATTATCTCAGGCCCTTAAAGCTGAACAAATTTATCAAACATGTTCGACAAAAGAGAGAGACCCTGAGATATATTTACAATTCTTTTACTATGAATGGACATAAACTTTGTCATCTTTGACAAGCTGTTCTTCAACCTGTCACAGATGATCATCTGTGATGGGTTTTGATCACAGATGTGAGTCATCTGTGATGGGTTGAACTTACAACCCGGCAGTGATGTGGTTTTACTCAAAAAAAAAATTAATTTGTTTTATTGGCTAGCCTCAAGTAATTGCTAGCCATGCCCACTGCAAAAACAAATAGAATGGATATATCCCTAGAAAATAAGAATGGATACATCCCACACATCCACATATATAGCTTCTCATACATTCCAAATTAACATGCTTAATCGACTTTGTCTAGAAAACCATTGGATGGTAAGGTTCTCAAGCTGTTGTTCCCCATTCTGGCAATCACAATTCAGAGACAACATAAGGTGCTCTAGTTCAGGTAGAGAGATACAAAGTCGAGCATATATAGCCCCTATTTGAAATGAATGCACACCCCTAGATAAAGAAAAGCTGTAATGTAGAGTGAACTCTGAGATAACAATGTGGACAAACCTTAGATCCTTGAGTGATGGGAAGGTGAGCCTAGCTCCTCTTGAAAAAGAAGAGATTCAACCTAGCAGAAGCTCGGTGTTTCTTTATTAAGAAGAAGAAATAGGCACACAAATTTGAGTTGAAGAGGACTCAAAATTAAGTTGTTTGGATGCACGAGGGCACCTATCTGAGCTAGCTAGGCTAGGGACACTTCCTGCGTGTCCCCTCTTAAGATACTGTAATTGGTTAGGTGAAGTAGCTGGACGAGTGGAAGACAGAGCATTGCCCTGGTAGCTCATTGCGACAGTCGTAAAGCTAAGGACAAGCTCCTTGAGGTTCCCCATGTTAAGAGAATTGCAATTGCGAATCCAACACCAAATCCGAGTCCGGCAAAAAGGAACAACACAATGTCTATTGACACCTTCTCTGATTGATGTAGAACCGTATCTGATGATATGTTGTTGCATGCTTTGGACAGCTGAAGTCCACAGAGACCCATGTTTCCTAGAAATGAGAGATTAGAGAATGTCAAGAAGTGGGGAGACTCGGGTATTCTTCCCTCCAACTTATTGTAGGACATATTCAACGTCGAAAGGAAGTCCAGTGATGCCAACTCTTGTGGAATCTCTCCTGAAAGATCATTTGAAGAGAGGTCGAGCGACTCGAGTTGATGTAGCATGCCGAGCTGAGATGGGATCAGTCCAGTGAGGGCATTATGTGACATGTTTACCCCACTAAGTAGAACTAGGTCCCCAATAGACTGGGGAATGGCACCATAGAACGCATTATCCGAAACATCAATGACTACAATTGTCCTCAATATCTTCGAAAAAGTAATATCAGACCCTTTGTATGTGATGGCAGTGGTGATTTGGTATGTTTGGCCAAGTAGATCATATTGATTTTCCATGACCAGCGTCTCATTGACTGTTTTAGTCATCATGGATTTCATTGTTCTAAACCATTCATTTTGTAATAGTCCAGAGAAATTGTTTGAAGCCAAGTCAAAAATTCGAAGTTTTATAAACTCACAACTATTTTTATCTCCAGGAACAGAAGGCCCCACATTCCCGACAAACTTGTTGGATTTCAGAACAAGGACTTGAAGTTTAGGAAGCATACTCATCCAACATGGAAATTTATCATCAATACGATTATTTCTGATATCAAAAGCCTCCAAGTCTTTGCAAGCAACTAGGGATCTGGGTAACAGTCCTTCAATCCGATTGTCACTAAAATCTAATGCCCCAAATGCACAATCTTGCTTTAGGCTATTTGGCAATCTTCCACCAAGTTGATTTCCTTTCAAGTTTAATACATTCAGGTGGTCACTCATATCCTCCATTAAACAAGAAGGGATGGAGCCAAGAAAATCATTATTGGAGAGATCAAGGAGCAAAAGGCTTGTTGCTTCACAAATCGATGGTGGAATTTCTCCGGACAGCTTGTTGCTGGAAGCCATGAGAAGGGAAATACTGCTTAAATTAGAACCAAAATTGGATGGCATGGATGAAAATCGATTGTTCGAGCAATCAAACAGTTGGGTCTGTGGTCCTGGTACAGGTATGTGACCTTCAAATAGGTTATAACTGATATCAATAACAAACATACCATCTGAAATGACAGAGCCATATCCTATACTACCACTGAATTGGTTGTGTGACAAGTTCATCAGGATGAGCGAGTTGATCCAATTATCCCATGCCCACTGAGGTATAGTGCCATGGATGTGGTTGCTTGAAAGGTCAAGAACTTGAACCGATTGCATGTGCCTCAAGGTATGGGGGAGCTTGGATATGTTACAAGATGCTAGACATAGAGTGTCAAAATTATCGATGGATTCCCATGAAGAATTATGTTCCCCGACTTGTACAGAAAGTTCGTTGTTTGAAAGATTCAGTATTGATAGATTGGGCAATTTGAAGAATGAGCTGAGTTCGATTGTGCCAATGAAACCATTGGAATGAAGGTTTATGACTTCCAAATTAGTTAGATTAAAAAGATGTGGAGGTACCTGACCAGAAAAATTGCATGCATACAATTTTAAGGTACTTAGGTTCTTGAGATTGCCTATGAAGGAAGGCAGTTGACCAGATAAGCCACAGTTGGAGAATTGCAGAGTTTCCAAAGAAGTCAAATTCGCAACCCAAGAAGGCATTTCTCCTACTATGCCAGACCCAGAAAGCTGTAACGATGTTAAGGACCTGAGCTCACCAATTGAAGAGGGAAGCTCTTCTTGGTGACTGTCACCAGCTGCTGCAACACCCAAATTCTTCAAGGACTTGAGATTGCTTACAGAACTCGGGATGGGACCAGACAGGTTAGTGTTGCTACAGAGCAGCTCAGTCAGAGCACTACCCGATGAGAAATCGGGCAGCACACCGGACAGTCTGAAATTATAGCTGATATCAACGACCCTCAAGTTCTTGCTTCCAAATATCCTCATCGGGAATGGCCCTTCGAGGAGATTGTAGGCGAGCCTAAGAACACGGAGGGAAGGCAGATCAGCCAAGGAATCCGGAATTCTGCCATGCAATTTGTTGAACTTCAGGTTGATCTCGACCAAGGAGCGAATGGCGGACAGCGATCCGCAGATCGGAGCATCGAGGTGGGTGTTCCTCAGCCTGAGAACCTCGAGCCGAGGAGTGGAGCTAGCGAAGCCATCGCACCATGCCGCGCCATTGCCGGACAGGTCAACATTGCCCAGATCGAGCGCTCTCAGGTTGCTGAGGTTGGCGAGCAGCGATCCGATGTCTGGCTCGACGACGGGCCACCGCCCTGCGCCGAGCGGGAGGGAATAATCGTTGTCTGCTTCAATGAGATAGATCCAGTTTGACAGGTCGAGAGACGCCAATCTGCTGAGCCGCGGTATCCCGCGTGGTATGTTTCCTGTGAAGTCGGAGTAGGAGAGGTTGAGGTGGGTGAGCTCGGTGAGCCGCTCGAACCCAGTGGCCGGGAGCTCGGAGTCGTTAGCGTTGAGGCTGTTCTCCGAGAGGTCCAGGTACCTGAGGGGAAAAAGAATTTAAGAGTATATTTTCGTAATTTTCCCACAAACATGTATATAAATATAGCATGTGTTTGGTTGGGAGGATATCCCGGGATGGGATGTGATCATCCCATTTTTGCATCTGTTTGGTTAAGAGACTAGGAGGGATAGGATGGCTCCAAAAGAGAATATCCCTTCAATATTTGGGACAGGCTCATCCGGAAAAAAAGTGGCGGACGAAACGATCCCACCTCCGCACAAGTGACTCATGCCTCACACGCAGTAAGACAAAAGCGCCTCACCTCTTTTTTTTCCCCTTTGTTCTTATCTCCTCTCAGTCTGATCTAGGGTTAGCTACAGGAGACACGGGGTGGCGGCGGCGCGAGCGTGGGCGGGCGAGTTGGCGCGCGGGGATGAGGCGGCGGCGGTAGAAGGGTTGAGCCGGCACGCAAGCAGGGCACGAGCAGGGGTGGTGGTGCCTCCTCTCTTGCCGGTAGCTGCTCACCCTCATCTCCTCCATTCGTAACCACCGACTGCAGATCAGGGTTCCCATTCTCCATGGTAAAAATACCCTAAACATTGCATGAGGATTTCGTTTTTAGATCTTTGCATATCTGTTTTTCTCGAGAATGTGTGAAAACTGTTAGATGGTTTATTTGACACCTTGAAAAGCTTGCCTTCCTGGGTTTGAGGAGATCCACATATCTGTTTACTATGCTCATTTGGTTACCAACCCTCACATTGCTAGAGCTTTTGATAGACTTCCATTTGAAAACAAGATACATTGGGTTGCTATGTTCATTAATGTCAAGTTTCCTGGATCAATGTAGCTTTGTTGAATGAGTTGGATAGTTCTTTTGGTATTATGTGTTGCCGGTTGGCCTATGTTAATGTATGACTTATACTGCCAATATTTTTAAGGCAGTGATCTCTCTAGTAGGTGCAATACTTAAATTTGCTATTACGTGTAAGACTTAATTTACTATTATGTGTATGACTTGAACTTCTTATTATGTTTGGCTTGGACTCTATATGTATGGGTTGAAATTTTGACTGTGCACTAATTATGCATGATTGTAACTGCCGGTACTGTTTATCATTTGGTGGCTTGTCCAATATGTTGAAATCCCAAAGCCTCCACTGATCTTGGCTGCAGTGAACGAGTGCTCAGGCCTAGGGCTGTAGAAATGAAGCTGCTAGAGCATATTATGCGTGTGATTTGTATTTTATTTTCAAATATAGTATATGAATGGTATTTTATTTTTAAATAGTATGATTATCATGTAGAAATATTATTTTGTAGTTTGTAGACTATAAGAGGTAACCTCATCAACTAAGGTGCGAGGTAATTGTATCCAGACAACTCATCTTGATTGCTTCATCCAAATAAAATATAGGATCATTTCAACCCATTATATTCCTTAAAAAAAACAGAATCATACCATTCAAAAAAAACAAGGATGATCCAACCCATCACATCATATCCCCAAACCAAACACATGTATATATATTTTTAATATTAATATATATATTCTCATATTACTTTCTTACCCGAAGGAATTAAGAATATATTTTCGTAATTTCCCCACAAACATGTATATAAATACAAATTCTAAAAAAAACATACATATATATTGTCAAATTCTTTTCATACCTGAGGGAGGTGAGTTCGAAGAGAGCGGGGTGGAGGCCGGCGGCGCTGATCTCCAGCCAGCATCCGCCGAGGTCGAGGGTGGTGACACGGCCGCCGCCGCCGCCGGTGCCGGTGCCGGTGCTGCAGGCGACGCCCTCCCAGTCGCAGCAGTCGGTGCCGGGGCGCCACGACGCGAGGGTGCACGCGGAATCGTTGGTGGGGGAGAAGGAGCGCCTCCTCAGCCGGAGCAGCGCCGAGGCCTGGTCGGGCTGGCAGTACGGGACCTTCGCCGTTTGGTTGCTGCTGCTGCTGCTGTAGGTGCTGAGGGAGCAGGAGTGTTGGATGATCGCAAGCAGGAGGAGCAGGTGAACAGCGAGCGTGGACAGCAGGAGCCGGCTGCAGGTACGGGAGATCATCGTTGTTGAGACGTCAATTCTCTTGGGTCTTGGCGTTCCCCACGCAAAGGACCTCGATCGTACGTATATATTCACACGCAAAAGGCTATGTTGCTGGCTATTACTCGTTCTTTGGAAAGAACGAGTAATTTTACACTGTTTATGTTTAACGTTTGACCGTTTGTTTTATTTGAAAATTTTGTATGATTAGTATTTTTATTGTTATTAGATGATAAAACGTGAATATTACTTTACGTGTGACTAATTTTTTAAAAATTTTCATCAATTTTCTAGATAAGACGAACGGTCAAACGTTGTATATGGATACCCACGAATGCATTTATTTTTTAGACGGAGGTAGTATGTGCTCTCGTCCTAAAATTTAATTACTACTTTCGTCCCAGAATATAATAATTAACTGGAAAGATATTATAATTGGTTGAAAAATAAAGGTATGTTGAGATATTGAATGGTGAAGAGTTGTAATTGGTTGGTAAAACAAAGTTGATAGATGAGTTGTTATATTTTATGATGGAGGAAATATTTTTTAAGGTGGATATGGATATGGGAGTACCTATGCATCTTTCGAAAGATTTTTATAATCATATCTCACAGATTTTTAATCTTTGGATTAAAATTTAATAGACACATTAAAAGGCAAAAAGCAACTAAAAACACCATAATAGACACTACATTACCATATCTTCAAGAAAAAGACCAAATCCAATATAAATTTTAAAACTTACATGTGAAGATTCAAAAATTACACAGTAATTTACAAAAGTTACATTGTAAGTTTCATAAATTACACTGTAACTTATAAGAAAATATACTGTAAATTTGAGTGAGAAAATCGAGTGAGAGATAAGAAAAAATCTTTCAAGTGAGATATAGCAAAATCATATGGATATTATGGAAATAGGTAAAAATGATTAAAGTAAGGTTGTGATTGGTTAATAAGAGAATAGAGATATCAAATAGAGAATGATTGTGATCGGTCGAATGAAATAGGTAAAGAAATAACTTTATTTCAGAACCAGAAAATATTCGAAGTGAAGATCTTTACCATAATACTATTATACGTGGGTCTCATCCTATATTGTTTCATACGTCAATGTCGGGTGCGTAGAGGCTATGATCCCATATCGGTCGTCACGGACGCACTTGTCCGATGAAGCTTTCAAAAACGAAAAAGACGTGCACGTACACCCTGCATACACGTTAATGAATCTTTTACTACTGGCTTTGTGCGGCGTGCAACTGGCGGTAAATTAATTTAGGGAGTGTTTGAGGAGAAGGGGATTGAGGAGATTGGGAAGATACGCAAAACGAGGTGAGTCATTAGCTCATGATTAATTGAGTATTAACTATTTTAAATTTTAAAAATGGATTGATTTTTTAAAGCAACTTTCCTATAGAAATTTTTTTTATAAAAAACGCACCGTTTAGTAGTTTAAAAAGCGTGCGCGTGGAAAACGAGAGCCAATCTCTCCTGTCATCCCTAAACGAACAATGCACATTAATGGTGACCAACAGAGTCCTGATGCAGCCGGCCGGCAGGTCCCCATCGCGGTTGGTTTGGTATCACGACTCTGGTACTGGGTCATGCTTGACTATAGATTTTTTTATAAAGGCTTGACTATACATGGTGTTGTAATTTCTCTGTTTTAAACAGATATATGAAATACAGTTATATTTAAGCGGTTCATATAACACGTCACACTCACCCTATAAGAATTACACATATACCTTGTATAAATACCTCTGAAGAGTAAGACTATACTCGACCATACTCAGCCTATGACTTGAATTCGGTTGGACGGATTGCTGGATTCTATCACCAGGGAAAAAAAATCTAACTGGTTAAGCTATACTTACTTTGCAAACGATTACTTTGATCGTGTTTGAATCTTTTTAAGATGGAAGATTAAGTGTAAGCATGCAAAACGAGAAATCATTACCGCATGATTAGTTGAGTTTTCATTCCTTCAAACTTGATAAAATGGTTTATTTGATGTTTTAAAGCAACTTCTATATAGAAAGTTTTTACATAAAATACACCATTTAGCACTTATAATCTATATTAATTTTAAGTGCTTGTCCAGATGAATTTTTATGATTAGATTTTTTCTTTTAACGGGGGAAAATTGTAGAAAGCTAGCTTGTGATTCACTCATGGCCGCGTCACTACGCATTGCAGGCACAATTAATTTTGGTCAGGCTTATCTGCGCGTGCCTGGAAAATATGGTGACGGCGACACTACGTGTTCGCTCTCACCCCCGCTCAATAATTCAACAGTAAGGCCTGGAACCAGTTCCTAAATTTTTTTTTAAAACTTTCAAACTTTTCTATTACATTAAAACTTTCATACACATAAACTTATTAACATTTTCATCACATCGTTTCAATTTCAATTAAACTTCTAATTTTAACGTGAACTAAACACACAAGTAAACCAGAAGAGTAGCAGCAGCTAGCTGTACGTCTTGATCGTGAACATTTCTGCTCGGCTTTTGGGCTGAGTTCTTATCTCTACTTTGCTAACTCACCTCCCTCATTTTTCACACGTACGATTTTCAAACTGCTAAACGGTCCGGTTTTACAAAAATTTTCTATATGAAAGTTACTTTAAAAAATTTTATTAATCTATTTTTAAAATATATTTTAGCTAATACTTAATTAATCATGCACTAAATGCTAAACGCTGCTTCGTTTTATGTGGTGTGTTCGGAACACACCCTTGATGTGTTCGGCGCCTCCTTTTCCCAATTTCTCTCCCTTGTTTTTCACGCGCACGTTTTTCAAATTGCTAAACGGTGTGTTTTTTTATAAAAAGTTTCTATACGAAAGTTGCTTAAAAATCAAATTAATCTATTTTTTGAAAGAAAAATTAGCTAATACTTAATTAATCACGCGCTAATGGACCGCTCCGTTTTCCGCGTGTACTAGGAACATGTACCAGCGAACACACCCAGCTCACCTTAGCACGCAGATGTTCACACGATTCCTGATTTGCCTCCAATGATATAATAGTGGCAGCAAAAGCCACCTGCTACTGGCCCTGACGTGTCCTGGCCCCTCGCCACGCGTCTCCTTGCGGGCAATTCTTTTTTTTAAACAACTCACACAAGATAGTGCGAAATTTCGTATTAATATAGCAAGAAAAGTACAAGATTACAACCCTGTAAATTGTAACTAGGAAAAGAAAAAACAACCATACCACCACCATACCACCACCGTACAAGTTAGCAGCTCCTCGCACAACCAAGAGAAGTTGTTATACCACTTCTGTGTATAAAAAAATACACGAGGTGCTGAACCGATGCCACTAAGCGTGACCGAACACCGCTAGACCTACAAAAGGGTTGCAAACGCCCCGCCAAACACCAACTCCACACAGAAGAATATCGGCGAGTTTCTGATTGTCTTCACGTAGAGGGGTTGAGTTGAAGGAGATGGCGAGAGAGAAGGAGATCCACTTGTCCCTCGCTCCAACCTGATGACGACCACCAAGAAACTCCGATGATCAAACCGAGAGAAGATGGTAATGGTGAGGAACAAAAGATCTCCTAGACGATGCCTCCAAGAAGGTCATGACGCTAGAGGCGTCAACATGGCCCGTCCACTAGACTTGGTTTTCACCTGGAGAATCTTGTCAAGAGAGGGAAAGGTGGCTGCTCGACAACGCCCCAAAGGGAGGTTATGGCGCCCGAAGGTGTCATCGATGCCGGCTTGGGAGATCTCGGGCTAGGCTTTCACCTGCAGCACCCTTGCCCAAACCTATCAACCCAACCCCAAAGCTCCACCGTCAAGTCAACCCCTGCCAACCCATGGCCCCGTCGCACCAACGCCCCACCGCCGGCCAGCCCACGTCCGCCTTCGTTGGGCCCCCATAGCGGCCAAAGATCTCTGCACCGGCCACCGGCTCGCTCACCGTCAGTGCTGCTGGCCACCGCCAGCAGCTCTCCTGCCATCGACACCTTAGCCAACAACCTTCACAAGCCCGCCTACTGTAGCCGAGCGCGCCGGCCTCCATGCTATCGCCAACCACCGCCCGTGCTGTCCTCCTGCCATCGCCGACTGCGTCAGCCTACTTGACATCGCCCGCGCTGATCTCCTGTCATTGCCAGTCGCATCCCCGTGCTATCATGGCCTCTTCGCCCCAACCTCTCCGACAGGACGCACGACGCCTGCCTTGCCGCCGGCCATGCTACCTCGCCCCCGGCCATCCGCCGCCACCTTCTCTCCGAGCTGCAATCCCACGCCTAGAGTTTGGCCAGATCCGAGCATGGGAGGGTTGGAACCATGTGTAAAGGTGCCGGATCCGCTGCCCCCTTGCCAGAGTTCATCCCCGTCGCCTCTAGCCGCCATGGTTACCATCGCTGTGCATTGCGGCGCTCTTCCCGTGCCAAGAGAGGGTTTCGCTGGAGAAGTGGCCCCGCTGCCACCTTCCCGGCTCGCCGTCGGCTTTTTTGCTAGTGAGCTTTGGCGGCGGCGAGGTAGAGGAGGGGTGAGGGGGACAGCTAGGGTTTTGCCCCCGAGCCGCCCACGCGCAGACGACGCGGAGGAAGGTGTCGTTTTCCTTCGGAGGAATTGTCTTCCACCAGGTTTACTTTTTCGGTTTTAACTGGAAACCACTGCTCACATGTTTAAAAAACCGACGACTTTATATCAATGCCATATAAAAAAAACCGGTTAATACTGATTAGTTTTTACAAAGGGATAAGTCCATTTTACACCCCCGAGTTCTTCTGTTTGTCTAAAATACACCATCGAACTACAAAACTGGGTATAATACACCCCCCTAACTATTAATACCGGGTATTTGATCCCCTCAAGCTGTTTTACTGCGGTTTTGCTACACGCGGACGTATCTTAGGATGCCACCTGTCAAATAAATCCACATCATCTTCTTCTTCCTCCTCTCTTCCTCTCCTCCTTCTCTCTTGTCCCCACACTCTTGCCCCCACATAGTGTGGCCGGCGATGAGCTCTTTCTTTCCTTTCTCTCCTCCCCGAGTGACCGGTGATGAGTTTGAGGTCCCCCTCTAATGCCGCACCCCCAAGCGCCGGTGAGCATG